CTGCCCAGTGCAGGTTACTGTTTGTCACTGTCAGAGACGACAGCCGACAATCTCTCCTCAGCATGAGTTTCCATTGAGGGACCTCACACGGCTATCGCGTGCGATTGCCACGAGGAACGTTTGCCCACACGCCAAACAACAGATGTTGGCTTGACCCGCAGGTTGCTCTTCCATAAGTTTCCTTTCTTTTCCTTTGTGGTGTTGGCGCAGGTTGTTACTGTTTGTCACTGTCAGAGACGACAGCCGACAATCTCTCCTCAGCATGAGTTTCCATTGAGGGACCTCACACGGCTATCGCGTGCGATTGCCACGAGGAACGTTTGCCCACACGCCAAACAACAGATGTTGGCTTGACCCGCAGGTTGCTCTTCCATAAGTTTCCTTTCTTTTCCTTTGTGGTGTTGGCGCAGGTTGTTTCAAATGTAATTAGGCTTTCAGAAAGCATCTTCCACTGCTTTGGTTTCCTCCTCTATCAGAAGCACATGGGCCCATGGGAATTCAGGGTGTGTTTCACAGTCTTATGGCAAGCCTTAGATCTCAAGCTGGCCACGATGACACCAGCCTCAGGCTTCACTTCTCCTCAGGGCGCTTCTTGGAGCAGTTGGCCCGGTTTCAGGCACTCGGCCAGGGGTCTAACTACCCCGGTAGGATCCCTACCTCCAGGCCTAGCAGATTGCTGTTTCGCAGGACTTTGTATCTGCAGTAAATGTACCCCATTATTCTGAGAGAATATAGCTGAAAGTGACTGAAATCCCCTAACGTATCATCAGCCAACTGCAAGGAACAGTTCTATGGAGAGGCTGAGCATCTGCAATGGGAGGTAGCAGAGCTAGGAGCTGATCACAGACCTCTTTAGTCGCAGGCCACTGCCTTACTCACACCTTTGTCCATTTCCATCCTGGGGAAGTTCATTATACAACCATATCTAGCCCTTACTTAGCACCTTTTTTCGGCTCAGCTCAAAGTCCTACATAATGGGTGTCTGATCTGTTACTATGTAGGCTCTCCGGACCGATTCCCAGAAAATCTGTAGCACCTGTAGCAATCTGTAGCTGAAGCTGTAGGTAAGGATACACCTGCAGTCAAATTTCAGCACCCCTGAAAACGATCCTCAAAGAGAATCAAGCACATTGCTTTGCTCTTCTCCCTGTAGTGGGACTGTTCCTCCACCAGAGGGAACTTCCACTTCACTTTGTGACCTGTAACAAGCTATGACCTCCTCATCCACGTCCACAGGTTTCCAGCAGCGTTTCCACTAAAAATACCAATATTTTCTGGTTATAGACAGGCTGTGAACCACCGCTGGGGATTCAGGGCCACCATCAAGCACTTCTGCCTTCAGGATTACAGGGATCTACAATGCCAGCATTGCTTTTGCTGGTGAAGGTATTTTGATTACTGTACAAGCGCTGCACAGCAAGACAGGATTGGGTGATCTGTTGCTACAACCAAGTAGAAATCAGTCATTTTCTCCAGACAAGACTGCTCTCTGGGGGAACTGCCTTCTCTCCAAAGGAGCCATTAGGCCACCTCGCCCAAACTCTAAGCCAGTTAATTATCCTGTGGGTGCTTTACTTGGATACTATGGACAAATATGTACTTGGAGTGGCAACAATGAAACTATAGGTTTTGAAATCTGTTATCAAAGGCTTGTCATGTATCAGGGTTATTTAGTGTGGAGGTTTTAGACTGTACGTTGGCAGACACTCCACAGCGTTATTACAGTCAATGATGTGATATTATTAAGTACATGGCACAGACGTCTGCACAAACATTCGTGTCATTAGCATAGCACACAGTATTTGCCATTTAGTGCTGGCAGTATATTTCAAGCACAGAAAAATGGACCGAGAGGAGAAGATACAAGATCATAAAGGCATATGACAAAAGGGGCAACACCCAAAGCTTCAGCACAACATTTTAGTGCCCAGGGCATAACTCTCACCCTCATGCCCTCTTGGATCCTTCCAGCCTTTCTTGTCAGCGTCTTCCAGCCCACCCTCTTCTGTGCCACTCTGCCTAGTCTCTGTAACTGCTGCCCTGCAGCTCTCTTTTCTGGGCAGCAACAGTCAGAAAGGCTTGAAGGCATTTTCTTCTGTTTGGCGGCTCTCCGTGATAAGGGTAAGCAAGACATGTAAAAGTCAGTCAAGATTCTTTTGTTGCCCTTTGGTACACAGCTGACACTATCACTCCCTGATGATTGTTGACTAATCTTAGACCTCGTAAGAACATAAAGAGATGGGTAACACAGTAGATCTGGTGACTGAAAGCCTAAAGAGTTTGTCAGTGGGAAGCCCGAGAACTTTATTTATATAGCTATTTGGTAAATAGAGGTTGAAGGGGAGAAATTCAGCTATACTCCGTCAACAGGAGAAGGGTGACAATGCCCCCTGCCTGCTCTTCATGGGTTCTGTCTTAGGATAACAGCGTCATAGCCCCGTGACCATAAACTTTGCATATGACATCCCAAGCATCCTGGAGAGAAGATTTGCTTAAGGAAAGCCTTTCCTTTATTAAGTCGGCTGAACTAGGCTATAAGGAAATAGGGGAGAGATGCAAGAAGAATTAAAGCTGTAGGGATAGATATGAATTAATTTACGAGCCAGCTGGGCAGAGATGCCATCTGATGCTAATGGAACATTTTGGAACAGCTTTGGCAGTGGAAGAAGGTCAGGCCACGGAAAATCCTAGGCAGATTGCACCACTGGATGGTTTAATCTTTATCCCCCAAATAAAATAACAAAATAAAACAACTTTATTAGGGAAAGGAGAGCCTCCACCCTTGCCCTGAATACTCTGCAGCCTTCTCCTAGCAACTATTTTTCCTGAGCAGTTCACTGCTAGGGAGAAGTCAGACCCCCAACAGTGTTCTCGTAATCAGACTCTTTGGCCCCATAGAGAGGGGAGGTCAGCCTCACAGCTGAACAACAACTGCCAAGCGCAAGACTTCTTAGAACAAGAAGAACGACTGATACACTTGCACAGCACACCACTTTGGTAACCAAATCTAGAAAAGGCCAGGAAGTGGCCAGCACAGTGATTGGGATAACGCTTATCAAGAAGACATATCCTCTAACGGATCAAACCTATGTAAGATTAGGATTATACAATCCTGGAGGCTGAAATGTCTCCTGGCATTTCATTCTGAAATGAATAGTTTGAGAAGATCAGAAAGCCTAGTCAGGAAATGTCCCCTGGCATAAAGAAAAGTATCATGCAGGAAACTTGTGGTGGTGTTTAGGTGTTGAAGGTCATGTAGGGAAAATACAAAATAACAAAGTGAATATATAAATAAGATATACATGTAATACTACCTGTGGGTACATACACTGTACAGTATGGCTACAGTACCTAAAAGGTACCAGGAGTAGAAGCAAGCTATGATCACTAAACAGGTATTCTGCAGCAAATCAAGGATCATACATACATAGGCAGAGCCTCTTGAGGATAAATGTTTTCTGCTCAGAGATATCTCTTGGATTTACCTCCTCACTTCTACTTGGCAGGTGAAGAAGAAGAAGGAAAAAAAAAAAAGATAAAACCCCCAGACATTTAGAGCAAAAATCCAAGAAGAACGTAACTCCTGAATGCACTAATGAAAAATGCCCATTTCTAAAACTCCGGATTCACAAAGAGATATGGACCAGATATGAAAAGGTTAATAATACTCTACGGAGAGTATTGTTAAAGCATGTGGAGACAGTCGGCATTTTCTGGCTGCCATTTCCAGTTTTATTATTGAATTACTTGCCTCAGAGCTACGGCCATTAGCAAAGAGAGATTAAGAAATGCCTATTTGTCTCAAAAGTTGTGTGGTTTGGCCTGAGAGCTGGGAACTGTGACTGCTAAGAACCTCTCTTCATTCTTAATGACTCATTACAAGAGCTTGGGAAAAGCATGGAAACCAGCATGTCTGAATTTATCATTTGGCTTTGGGTAACCAACATGAGACAGCTTGGCCCCAAATATTCTCATACAAAATTCTACAGCACAAAAATTAGCCAGTGGTACTCAGTAGCTCCAGATATCAAGCTCTGAACACCTTCACTTGGGCATTAAAATTGTCTTTGGAGAAGTTTGTTCTTTGCTTTCCCATATCCTCTCCTGTAAAGTATGTGTTACAGGATGTCTCTGCCTTCATTAGCGACTGTGAGGCATCTGCACATCCTCCAACTCCAAAGGAAATCAGCCCAATTCATGGGCTGCATGTTTTCCATTTCTATCATTTCAGAATGAACAAAACGCTTGGACTATAGCATTTTATAAATTGACGAAAAAAGGATCATATCTTACCCCAACTTACTCTTTCAGCCTTGAATTTTAATAAAGACATCAATAAATTACCACTGCTATTACAGTACTTCTGACACTCACATGAGTCCTCTTGTTCCCTGTTACCTACTACCATCCTTCCACCTCAAACCACTCATGTACAACTATCAGGCCTCTTCCGTGTCTCCAAATGATCTGTGTCTCTGTCACTCCTAAAACACCCTGCTGTGGACAGCTTACAACATACATGTAAAAGGAGAGGAAATAGTTCAATAAAAATTTGATGCATGAGCAAAGAGCAAAGAAAATGGCAATCGGAACACAGACTGCTGGGAGGAAGATCTGGATCAGACTGCACATCCTCCTTCTACAGTAGGTAAAAAGAACACTACCATTTCTTAGGGATGTGACATGCAACTCCCTTAGATTTTTACGAAGCCCTTCTTCCCCTGTCCCTGCCAGACAAGAACCTACTCACATATTTGATAAGACTGCAAAGAAAGAGCAAGATGCACCACTTAAATATCTTGCCTGATTCCGCAGAGAGAACGAGAAGGGGCTATGATGTCATGATTGACACATACCACGAAGATTGTGACCAACGGCACTTGGTAACCTTGCATGAGGGATACAGGGACGGAAGGGAATGGATAGCATTTCCTCCTCACAGGAATTGGCAAAGTGGGTGATAGGGTTTTTGCTACTGTTTTTCTGAAATGATTCCCCACCTGTCTGATGACATCTCAGTTTCCTGCAGCCTTGGTGATGTGGCGAGTATCTCTCACCTCCAGGTACCGTTTTGGTTGGACGCTTGGAGAACGTCAGCTTGGGATTTTCCCACAGCATGTCCAAATCCTCATAATCTTCCTCTCGAGGCTTTTCTTCTTCATGAACATTATGAACGTTCTCTGAACGTCTGCTGGAGTGAGGAGAGAAAGTAAGCATGATAGAGATGTTCCCTGTGTTAAGAAAAGGAAATTTCTGAAAGGAGAACTGCAAGAGGGACTTCTAATTATAAAACGTATTCCTCAGGACTGGAAACCAGCAGCGAGACCTACTCTCTTCTGCTTTTAAAAAGGACGTTTGATCACCCTGAAAAGGGAAAGGAAAAGGGCTGCTTCCTGGGCAAACTGCCGTGACTGATGCATACTGAGTCAAGAACCGGGGAAAGCTATTCTTTAAATTTGCTGACGTGTTCCTCTGTAAGTCTTCGTTATTAGCCACTGGCAGAGAAGAGATATTAAGACACACAGAGCTTTGGTCTGATCCAGTATGTCAATGCTTATATTCTTACACTGGAAGGCTACAATTTTTTTTTTGAATTTTGTGACTGAGGAGTGTTTAAATATGACTACAATAAAATAGTAAATATACTGGAGGCTGACTTGACACTGTTCCTGCCACTAAAGCAGACACAGACAGAAAGGAGGAAGGTAATTAAGTGCTAGTGTGAACACAAAATGCATTAAAGAGGGATGCTGAGAGAAATATGGTCAGTGCATGGCCTTGAGGTCTCACTGAGGCGCCATGCAGATGGGAATGTTAAAGATAACAAAAAGCTGTAAATAATGAGTGAAAGGGGCCTCTCTCATGGGCAGAAGAGACAAGGTTTCCTTCAAGAAAACAGAGAAGGAATGTGGAGGAGGCTATGGACGGTCCAAATTATATTAGGCAGAAGCTAAGGGACAGCTATAGGCTGGTCTCAATAGTTTCTAGGGACAGGCTGTTTTCACGGAATGATCTAATAAAAAAAGTCAAGGCAGCAAGAGAAGAAAGTGGAGTGAGGTTCTTCACCATCCCTTGCTGAACTGCCTTTAACCAACCAATGGGAGATCTCAGACAATGCTCTCTTTAGCAGTATGCTGTACATAGCTGAAATCACTTAGCAATTAGTAAACCAGTGCGGCTTCGCAAAAACATGCTTTAATAACTGTATAAATGCTACTTCACTGTAAGTTTTAATAAAGAACGACTCTTGACCCTCAGGTTCAATTTAAATCCTAGCACAAACCTGGATGTGGCAACTGCAGATTTCAATTTGGTGCAAGAGCCCCAAGGGAGGCAGAAGGAAGCAAGCTGCACTGGCACACTTGGCAAACGTGCCTTCCCATAGGAGCTATTTAGGAGTGCTGCCAGGTGAGCAGCAATGTCACCTCTCCAGGGCTTTTGCCCTACTTCTATAAGGTCTTTCCTTCTCTCTTCATATGCCACAGTGTATCTGCCTCTCTTGTGTACGTCCTATTTTCTGTGTAAACCATGCATTGCTTTATACCGGCTTTCTCCTCAGTTTGTACGCTGGTATAAATGCAAAGAAAAATGCTGAGTGTCAAAGCACAGGGCATATTTAAGACATCAACTTTCCTATCGCGTATAGACATGAAATTCCAACACACTAAAACCAGCTACTTCTAGTTCTACTTAATTCTAGAGAAAGCAAAAAGGATGTCAGGGAAAATACGTCTCTTTATATGGACACGTTACATAACTGATTTTTTCTGCACAGTCAGAGTATGAGAAAAATTTGCAGCATCACCCTGCTTCTCTCTCTCATCACATGGGAGTAGGATCAAGAATTTTAGTCTTCCCAGGGACTAAAAAGGCTGAATTCCAACACTGAAATGGAACAAAAGCACAATCCAAACGCATAGTTTAGAGGCTTCAGGAAAAATACACCCAGTGAGATGAGGGTTTCCAAGTTACCTTCTACATCCTTTTTATAGGGGACCCCATTTCCACAGATACTACTCCTTCATAAATACTTACCATCCTTCTCTTTAATGTCACTATTCGTATGACCAGATAACAGTTCCTTGGTTAGTGTCTGCTTACCTCTCACAGAGGCCAGTGAGCGGTACGAGAATAGCATATAAAGCACTCCCAACATTTTGGCATTGGGAAGTGATGATAGTCTAAGACATCTCTGAACAATGCATGTCTAACTGAGGAAAGTGGCAGCAATTTTCCCACACAAATAATGATCCAGTCTGACTGCTCAGCGCAAGATCTGAAAAGACTACAGCTGAAAATGGAAATTTGGACTCCTAGAAGTCTCTATTTCAAAACCACAAATTCTATATAACAGTAATGAAGAGAAAAAAGCCAACACCCAAATGCTAAACAAACAAAAAAGAAAAGAGAGAGAGAGAGAGAGAGAGAGAGAAAAGACAGAAAGAGAGGGGAGCCTTTGTGCTAGAACTCCATTTTTCATATCAGTCTCCAGTCATGTTCCAGCTGGCAAATTGCAAGTTCCAACCTCTCTAGCTGCTAAGAGAAGCATTTGCAAGCACGTACTCTCACTCCTTCTCTCTTCTCACTCCAATAGGAGATTCTTAATTGGAATTGTATGTAGGCGATGGAGTGTTTTCCACATCCTCTTCTCCCTCAGACTCCATTCCAACCCTCGTCTGTCAAAAACACTGCCAGTGTCTATTACAGCTCAGAGATTTTCCAAGTAGCATTGAAATGGAAGGGACATACTAATGCTAGTGAACTGCACTGCCTACGGCAGGACTCCGAGAATGCACCTGAATTCCAGGAGAAGTGTGCCAGCAGCTCACAGTCTTGCCAGAACTACCCTGACACCAGTCTAGGCACTGATAAAGGTGTTGCTGTAGCAACACAGACCTTACCGTGAGATAGCTACACAAGTATGTCCTCAGCATCCAAGGGAGGATTTTCAATTTCTGCTGAGCTCTGGGCTGCTGAGGCTACACCTGGGTTTGTAGGATCATAGAGTAATTTAGGTTGCAAGTAGCCTCCAGAGGTCATCTGGTCCAACCCAAAAGCATGGCCAGCTTTGAAGTTACATTAGGCTGGGGAGGGCCTCTTCCCCAGCTAACATTTTATGCAGTAGTCCAGACGTGACTTGGTGAGCGGCAATTAGGTGTGGGCAGGTGATGTTACAGTGTAGCAGGAGATGAGCTTTTCACAGTTCAACAGCTCTGCAGGACTGGTGTGGTAGCAGTAGACCAGAAGCTGTCTCAGCACTGAAGTTGTCCTCCCTGGCGCCAGCAATGTAGCAGCTATCAGACAGCTGTGCGTTATTTTGTGTTGCAGACCTCTTACTGGAAACCACTAGGTCAAGACACTGTTCTTTTGAATAAAAAGCTCATTCTGCAGAAGTCAGGTGCGTTCCTTCTACTCACTATGTGCAGGATGATTTTTCAAGCCCTGCTTTAGGACAGCAGGAAATAAACACAGTGGGCAGCTGCAGCCATTGTTTAAGAGTTAATCCCTGTAATAACCTTTGTTAATCTAGCTTCAGTGATCAAGTGGTATGGAACATATTCAACATACCCACAGGGTGCGCGTTAGATTAACAGGATTACCTGCTGATGGTGGTAATACTACCCTATATTTATTCAGCTCTTCTCTGAAGAACAGTACGTACTCTTTAAAGGTGGGTAAATATTTGTTATTCCGAGAGAGGGAAATTTAAGTGCAAAGAGGTTAAGTAATATAGCCAGTTCCACACAGTGAACCAGTATCAATATCCCTAGCCTCCTGCCCCAACACAACTTTTCCCAAGCCATCAGGTGTCATAAATTCATAATAATTATAGCACATCCTGGTTTATTACGCTAACAGTTTGCTTATAAAGCAAGATTTATATTGCTGATTAAGCTACCATTTTCACTACTCATTTTTTGTTAATTTTGAAAGAGTCTAGAGAACAGATTTGGGGAACATACATATGTGTTAAGATAGTAAACCCAGAAAAGCGATCATCCTTTCCTTTGCGCTGTACCATGTCTAACACACTGTGCTAGGGAATAATCAGATGCAAGCATTCTGACCCATTTATAATTTATTTGGTGTCGTTTATAGTTTGTGTTCATAAAGGACTATTTTACATTCTTTGTGTACAATAGATATCTAAGTATTCTAATAAAATAATGAACTTTGAGAATAAAGCTTTCTCTCTCTTTTTCCTCCTCAGAAAATCCTTGTGGCCATCCTTTATGGCCACAAGAGATGCCTGTGATTCCTGTCTTTAGAGATTATTCTTCTGATATTCATAAGGCCATGTATACCACTGAAAACCTGTGAAAGCTGAACATACACTGTGTCGCTTACTAGCTCATTAGTGCCTCGCAGTAATATTCACTTGCGGTGGATTTCACTTCAGAAAAAAATTGTTTCTAGACCTACCTAATTGGGACAATAACGTCTAAATCAAAGAGTAAGCACAGAATTCGTACCCCCTCATGTTAGTATCGAGGTCAGCATTTACTCTAAAAGTTAAAGGGTTGAGTTTCAGTCAATAATCAGGGACCTCTACAGCAAATAGAGAGAAAGAGAGATCTCTAGGGGACAATTTGTCCCATTTATTCTAGATGCTTATTTTAGTATGAATCTCCTTCTCGAGGTGCTTCTCTTCATTCCCTACAGAGTAATCCTAGACAACTTGCTGCCTGCTGGTAGGTGAAATTCGTTACATGTGTATTCTTTGTAATGGCAGCTTGTGACCTATATGTTTTAACAAAGTAAGCCACATCCTACCTCTGCTGCAACCAGGGGCATAACTGCTAATCATCTCAGTTGTGCCTGTCAGGAAAAATAACATCTGACCCACAATCATGCCTTCTAAAATCCTACAGTGTCCTACAGTGATCTGTTCAATTTTGTCTTTCCAATTTTTCATTTATAAAATCTCTTTCAGCTTTATCAGCTATTTTCAACCACCCAAAATAGTTTCTTACTTGCTTCTGAGACAAATCCATCTCCAGTTGCCCCAACAGAGACATGCAAGTTTTAAGCTTCCACTCATTCTTTATCTTTCCAAGTATGAGGCACAACAGAGGGTAGCCTGGAGTAACTTGAAGGTGTCTCTTATGTGCTCATTAGAAAACTTCAATTGTCAATTTTATTCTTCTGTGATGCTTTGCGCATAGGAAGTAAGAGTAAGAAGAAGCACTAGAACTCTATGCTTCAGACTTACCTTCCTCTGCAAAGGAAATTGGGAAATGTAGTTTCCTTTTCTGGAGAACTGCAGTTAGGCAATTGTGTTATTAAGGGCATTAGATACCAGGAAGTGAGGAAAGTTCAGTTCTGCCTTCTTATGCTTTTCAGAAGACATGAGAGATAAGAGAGCTTGCATTCCTCCTCCTAGTAGAAAACAGGCTTGACATACGGTCTCTTAGAAAAATCAGTGGGTAAAATTTCTGGTTTAACTGAAATCATAAATTTGCTTTAAAACTATTGCTGTAATTTTAGGCACAAATCTCTACTGCCAAAGTCTAGGATTAGGAGAATAGCTGCTAACCTTTGGCACTTGTGAAGGGGGACATTTAGGGAAAAGAGACTGTTAGTTTAACTGGCATGTAGTTGAATAGGAGGGCTTAACACAGAAGACTACGAAATTACTCACATGTTTTGTACCGATAAATACAGTGATGAACATCGTAATCGCCAGCTCCAGAGTCAGTTGCCATTGGTTCCGCTTTGGAATTCAGTTGTGGTCCCAGGGGCCTTAGAATAGTCCACTCTTCCCCTTGCAGGGCTGAGGGAGAAGAGAAAGAGGCCTGGGTACGTGGCAGCAGAGGTCAAACTGAAAGAGCATCAATAACAAGTCTCTCACCAACAGCTGTACCTACATTTGTAATGACACTGTTGCTTATTACTCTCCCTTGGTAATCTGCTGAGAAATCCCAATACCTACTTCTCTTTCTGGATTGAGAGCATGAGAAGGCAGAAGCCAGTTTGAAGGCACATGGGGTATCAGCCACTTTGGTTTTGCTTTGAATATATTTTACGCAAAATCTCTACTCTTGCTTACCTATTATTTTTTGCATTGTCCCTATTTCTGAATTAGGTGACTCATTTAATCCCAATTTAATATTAAATGTCTTCTGGGAAAAATTCTTAGCAGCCGCTTCACACTCATACTTCTTACCTCCCTAGCATCAGAAAGCATACACGCTCATTAAAGTTTAAAAGGAAAAGGAAATTTGAGGATTAAAATAACGTTTAATTAGTAGCTAGAATACTCTTCATCTTTCAGGTGCACAACACAAAGCAATTCATAACGATTATAGTTATCCCCATCTTACAGAGAAATGAGGTGAATTAAATTACATCCCTAATGACTTAGAGTTAGATTCCCGATCTGGTTCCCAATTCTGTATTTTACCAACTAGGTCACGTTTATCAACATACAATTTTAAAATATTCCTGGTTCTTCTGTATTCACCAATACCTGTATTCAACAATATCTGAGATTTTAACCCCCCTCCCCTTTTTTTTTTTGGTGATATTGAAGCTAATAGCACCACCCTAGCTTTATTAACATTGTATGAGGTACTGCATTTCTCATCTGACTCTTGACTTCAAAAGACCCCATATTTTCCCTGCAAGAAATTGAATTACTATGCTAGCATGTAAAACACTTAACACTCTCCACTAAATACCCATTGCTCCAGTTCAAGGGATAGCTAGTAAGTGGCAGGACAAAAGAACTAGAGTCAAGAAGTTAACGTTATCTGTAAGGAAGAGAAGGATTTCTAGTGCATTGGGTAAGATTCAAATACAAATAACCTACCCACGAATATCACTCTGGAGTGCCTTCTTCACTTCTGAGTCAAAAGGCGGAGCCTTTTTTAGTGAATATACATTCACGAAAAACAAAAGTTCCTGTCCAAATTGCACATATTTGTAATTCACAACGTTCACTACTTCTTCCTGTGTTCACTGGTTTGTCAAAAATGTTACATCAAATTACCGAGGTTGAAAGTGTTACCAAGCACTCCAAACACTTTCAGCAGAATACAGATGTGCTTTTGAAAGAAAAAGCAGCGCTCCAAATTTTGTCCAAATTATCTTAGGAAGGTATGTAGCAGGTAAATACAATATTAACACAATTTCTATCAAATAGGTTAGGATTCACGGACCTGACCCCTTGCTATATACGCCCAAGAGCCCGAGTTGCAGGAACTTCCTGTTAGATCCTGTGGAGAAAGGAGTAACTTCTCTCCAAGGGAAGAAGCTCAGTCACTAGATAGTTTTGTTTAAAACTAAAACAGACATCAGGAAGCGCTTCGTGATAAACTTTAAGAACCTCTCTGGCACTGGCAGGGAATGGAATAATAGCTGACTGGTCTTTGCCAAATCCACGTTACGTTATTTTACTGATGAAAGAACCCAGACGTTACAAAGTGATAAAATATGACCTGCTTTCAGTCTGTCCTGAAGGTTTTGGAGGTAAAGCTAATTAACAAGGAATAATTTTCCTCAATTTACTAAATAAAGTTGTTTAAAGTTTACGGAATAGCTTTACTCAACTTTCTATGGCTCTTTTCACATGGGTAGCAATATTACTGAGACATCCCTACTGTGTTGTTGGTCACGGAGACTTGATTCAACTGCACGCATCCCTTCTTTAATTAAACAACGGTATCAGGAACTCTTTGAATTATTACTTGATAATGTAACAACCCCTATAACAAAGGGACCTTTTTTATTCCAAACCACACCTTCTCCATCTGGAAGAGCCAAGGAAAAACAAAATCAGTAGGTATTTACTAACCACATTTGATATTAAAGGTTTGCTCATGATTATTCTTTAAGGGTTGTTATTGCACCACACGAATACCTGTTTAACTTTAGACTCAATCTGAAAAATTTAATATCTAATCCCAATCCTCAGATAAAACTGAACATCCTATTAAATAATTAAATCATTAAATCTTAAATTAAGAGTCCGTCAAGACTTAACACCCTATGCTGACATTATCCTAAAACTCATCTCACAAATTCCTGTGTCTACGGTTAAGTGATAGCAACTCTAAGCCCTATTAATTGAGAGCTAGCAGAGGAAAAGCAATTTAGTCCCTTCTACGAGAGCCATGAACAACAATTTGCCCCCATTTATTACACAAAGTATCATCTAAGAACGTGTGTGCCTTGATATTTAATGGTAGCCACCTGCCCTACTTTGAAAAAAAAGTCCCTTTCTTGTAAACTGTCTGTTTGATTGGTGATACCCACTATTTTTGGATGGTGGGAACCCAATTTTCAAGCACAAATATTTGAATAGCATGTCCACATTTTATATGTGGAGAAGTGGGCTTAAATTCATGAATGTAGAATTTTTTAGGGACTTATAACTTTTAGTGATAAAAAAAAGTAGCTATTGAAAAGTTTTATTGCATGTATTGTTAATATAAATCTCTCTTCACTCAAAGACCCTTACTTTTTTTTTTTTTTTTTACTAGTAATATTGGGAATAACAAGAGAAACTTAAGGTTATTTACTAAATGGCGATTAAAATGAAGAATTTATTCAAGCATTTTCTGCAGTTACTGTTTAAAGAACACCTGTTTACAGAGATTATTTCTTTCTCAGATAGGAGCTAAAGGCTTACTTATTAGCATTTCACTCCAGTTGGTAGAGCTGGCGATAAAAATTATGTACAAGGCTCCTTGCAGGCAGTAGAACAGGTTGAAATATGCTGCTTTGTAGTTCAATCAGAGTTATGCTTACTCACAGAACATTTTGTTTTGCAGGTAGCGTGAATAGCATTTTGTTTTTGAGATGCAAAGAAAGAGTAACACGATCAAAACACTAGGCTAGAAAGTTATCTCTGAAGCAGCATTTTGAAGGTAGGTGAGTAAAGCCATATGCAATCAAAAGGGATATTAAACATCATGTGTGTGTATCTAGGGGTGTATATATACATATATAAATATATACATATACGTATATAATGCATGCAGCACAATAATATAGTTACAGAAGGTTTGTATGTGCATAATCCAGAGTGAGAGATACTTGTATCTACGCCATTCTCATAGAGTTGGTTTGTTTGAAAGCTATTTCTGAACACAACGAAATTTCTTTCTATCGATACACAGCGTGAGTGTGTGTGAGTGAGAGCGCACGCGCACGCACACAAACACACCTAATTTTTCTAGTAGATGTAAGTTCCTGTGGATACTATTTTGCGTGGTGATAAAAATGAACAGGTAGGAAAAATAAGCATTTTTTTCACTGAAGTGTAAGGTTAAAATCCTGGCCCGTGTGGATTAGGAGTTGTATTTGTTGCAATGTTATACATTAAATCATTCACAATTTAACGTTATGGTTCTTCAACTTTTTGACACAAGACTTCACTGGTTATCCCAAATGTATAACTTGTAGAGGAGCCAAATACTTTAAAAAAAGATATGTGGTCCTGATTTAACTTCTCCAAGGGACAAAGAATTCTAGGGAAGTTAAACAAATAATTAATTATCTTCCCTGTAAAAGCAAAACAAAAAAATCTTAAGCTAACTGGCTTCAGCTTCCAGTTCCTGGGCTTTGAATACCTCCACTCCTTCATGACTGAAAGCTTCTGTTTACACAATGCATGCTTGTTTTTTGTCCAGACTCCTCTCAACTTGTACTTTGTCTGCTTCGCCATCTTCTTTTCTGGTCTTTGCTTATTTATTTTACTTTATATACATTCTGAATGCTGCTGCTTCAGAGATCACTTTTGCTGCCCAGCCTTTTGATCATATGACTCTTCTCTTTGCACCCTGCTACTGGCTCCTTTATCTATCATTTCAAATATAAGTCTGTTTTCATTTTCAAGGTCATTCGTGGACTATGTCATCGTAATCAGCACCCCATACTTGATCTTCTAAGGTTGACCTCAGTTTCTTAGTCCTCCAGGCCAGTACCTACCCCAAAACAGTAAATTCTCAAACATCATCCTTTAATCAGTCTTCATGCTACTCTTTGAGAGTCGGTCATTCACAAAACCCTCATTGTTATTTTTCAAATCCCCCCTTAAAGCTTTTATTATAGTATTTACAGAAAATTTTAGCCAATTGGTATGCTGCCACCAGTCTGATCTATTGTATTAATATTGTTTCCTTGTTGCCAAATGCTCCTCTTTCTTTCTATATTAATTAACTGTTCTTTGAGAAAAAGTGCTTTTGTAAGCATAAAAAGTAAGGGCTTTGAATAATGGGTGGTATTAGAGATCTACATTGTACAACAATGTATGTAATATGTTGTACAGCAACTGTTACAATAGTTGCAATACCTACAATGAAACAAGTAATATACTTAGTTTCAAGTATAGCTTGCTTTATGGAAATACATTGTATACATTTTATCACAAATTCAAAAATTCAATTTAGTAGGTCCAGTATACCTGTTAGCAATTTAAATGTTCTTAAATCCGAGAAGAAAACTCACCCGTTTCTTTCAATGCCTGCTAATGAGCATTTCTCAGGACTACATGTAGCTGACGATCTACCAGACTGTTCTCTACTATCCCGTTGTGTTTGTTGGCTTTTCTTGCTGAAAATACTATATAATACTATGTAATACTAGGTGTTGTTGCTACCAATCCCTAGAGAGGTCTTAAAGCTACCAAGGAATCTGGGCTGACTGATCTCTGCTGTGTGAAGGACAGTAATTAGCTCATCACAGTAAGCGCGGCGCTTTTGTGCCTTTTGATTTCATACACTAATTCGTTTGTTTGCACGTAGCAGTAAATAAGAGGTCAGGGCGGAGTCCTGAAGCAAATTCATGGCAACAGCTTTAAAAAGGCATTTAGCACAAGTGAGGCTGGTTCATTTGAGAAAACGGAGGAAGAGAGCTGAAGGTGGCAGGAATATCCAGGCTTCGGGGGACAGCGGCAGAGCAGGGCTGAGCCCCTGGTGCTGTTAGGAGGGGATTTCTGAACCTCAGAGGTTTTTTGTGATGAGAGGAACCCAAGGAGAAGTATCAACTGAAGACTGGTGGTTCCCAGTGAACTGGATGACTCAAGAGCTTATCTTGGGTGCTTTCTCTGCTTTTATTCTCCTTCCTCCCACGCCCTCTGGTAAGAAAATTTTGCAGTAGGAGATGAGTATTTGTGTCTTGCTGGGTCACTGCAGGATATGATCTGCTAGTTCAGTACTATTTTCCCCGTTAAAAAAAAAAGGTGACGAGTTAAACTATCTCGGCCATAGTCTTTCATAATAATACACGGGTCTTGCATGAAGGAAACGGAGGAAGGTGAAGGTGAAGAACACATTTGCCTGCAGATACAACGACATAAACCAGCTCAGCTACAACTAGATCTTCTTCAGAACCTGCCATAATCCCCAAGACACCTCTAGAACTTATTATTTTTTCCCCCCGCGACTTCTCCGGCCACGTAGCGGCCGGGTGCTGCCAGTTCTCCTCAGCCTCCCAGGCCACCAAACAAAATGGTGGGCCT